TGTGTGTGTGTGTGTGTGTGTGTGTGTGTATTCGCCCAGCGATTGAGTTGTGTCCCATGCAGACTCTCCCCTACCTTGTCCCTAATGGTGACTGGGGCCCCATTCTCGTGACTCTCTCCGGGATATGCAGTTGGAAAATGGGTGGGTAGTGTATATTTCCCTAGTCATATTCCTAGTGTGTATGCAGATTTTTTTTTTCCACCCAAGCTCTTAATTAGGGTGGATCAAATCCATAGAGTACCCTGACCTAACAGATTACAAGGTGAAAATGATAGTCACCTTTGTGCTAGCTAAAATGTAAAACTTGGTCACTCAACTCAATGTACTTGAATTACAATGATAAAGCAAAACCGCTAAAGAGCTCCCAGTATAAAATAAATATCTCCTTCTGTGTGGATTCAGTGAACACCCAGATCAGGCCCATTAAATGCAAGCTGAGCTGGTAGAAAAACCAGCATGCATAAAGCCTTCCCTCAGGACCTTCTATTAGTATGAGGTCTTCTTCATCTGCAATTTAAGGTGCCGCATGATTCAGGGCTGGGTTTTGATTGGATGTTGCTAGGGGTGGAGTTTTACATTTTGGGAGAGCAGCCATCCCAGCTGGGAATTAGGTCCATATCAGTAATAGTCAGGGTGAGTTGGTTTCCAATGGGCAGAATATTATCTAGATCAACGTGGTATGTTGATAACCTTAGGGTACAGATACAGGCAGACATGAGTATCCCAAGTTCTGCCAAAACTTCCTAAAAGAGAAAAGGAATATAGTGCAGCAATATATCTGCAGCATTTACTAATATATGGGCTACATGCATTGGTAGTAATAGACATCTGGTTGCAGTCTCTGGTTTTGAACTTGCATAGAACCTAAGAAGCAGGTCCCCACCCACAAGAGCAAGGAATTCCCTCGGGGGGATTACAGCCTGACCTCTACGCAGCCCCACATAAAACATGTTACAGCCACGGTAAACGCTGCCTGCGGCAGGAATACAGTGTATACAGTGTACTTCACCTCTGCATCTCCAAGGTCATGCCTCTGACCAGCAGAGTAGAGTCTAAGCTGGTTCCTCTTCCCTGTAAATACCGGGGCTATGCCTTGTGCAGCAGGCATGATGAAATGCACGACACCAGCAGTAATGAATGGAGGTTTACTGTCGCAGAAACACTGTGGGTGTAACGTGCTATCTGAGGCCCACCCTGAGCTGACTGTTTAAGGTTGTGGATGGACTTGACAGCAGCTACAACTGCGTTTCCAGGGGCTAGACTAGCAAAGGGGCATTAGGGCCTTGCAGAGGATTCTGAACGTGTGGAAAGCAAACACACAGCATACATTTAGGGCAACAGTGAAACAACTGTTGAAGGATTTCCCCTTGAGTTATAATTATGCCGATTGCTCCACATCCCCTCGACACAAAGGCACTTTGTCAGGTTTCAGGTTCCAGACAATGCTGCAAACATCTCATCGACTCCCTGACAGGTAGCAATTCACATCCCAGACAGCAGGGGTCATGCTGGTTAAAGACATGGCCTCCTAACTCGAACTTACAGCTGTAACACCAAGGTGTGACATTCTTGAGCAGAACAATTCTCACTATCTCCATGACAGGGACATCTCTAGAGATTTTGGGCCCCATAAAGCATATCATATTGGGGCCCCAAGGCAGAGCAATACAATAACGTTCCAAATTTTGGAGTCATCCTAACCCCTTGCCCCTTTACAGTGCCACTGCCCCTGCAATATAAACACAGTATATATTGCAATATAAACACAGTATATATTGCACAAAAAGTGTTCATTAGATTGCATCAATAATTCCATTCTTGTTTTCTACTTTTGGAGCATTTGCATGTGTTTCAGGTTACGCATAGCACATTATACACAAGATCACAGTCTGATATAGTACCTATATATAAATCTTAACAATAAACAAATATTTCTGCATGATCTAGGAAGGTGAATGTTAAACACAGAAA